GTTTGTATATTTTGATGATTTTCATCCAAGGTGGTCACCTAACCTTCACGTTGAGCCCACCATATACTGGGTTTGCATAATCTATCTCATTTAATCCTAAACTTCTCTGCAAGATAAGCACTATTATATCAAATTTAAAGATGAGGAAAAAGACCTGGAAAGGTATGAAATGCACCCAGAGTCACACAGTTAACTTAGTAGTCTCCTGTTTCCTCCTTGCCCAGTCTCCTTTTGCCACTTCCTGGGAGGGTCAGAGGACAAGAAAGGGAGGCTGTATCAGCAGGGCTGCTGGGGGTGAGGGGTTGGGGTGGAGGGCATGAGTCACACTGCAAACATCACAAATCTGTATGTTTATTGTGATGCCTTTCAGACATATAGCAGAAAAGTGTGCTGCCTCAACAAAATTGATACAGTAAGACAATTTTCTGACATATGGAAGCAAAACATCATGAGAAGTGCCTTTTCTAATTCCAACAAAGGCTTTATTTGCGCTATTGGCTGGTTTGACTATTTTGAAACATAAAAATTTAAAGGATGGTTTAAATAGCATGTTTTCCTTAAGATTAAACTTGAATTTATTTGGAGGAATGGATATTTTGGTCAAAGAAAGAAGAAGCGAAGCAGCAATCCCACTCCTTGACATATACCCAGAGAAAACCATAATTCAAAAAGATACAGGACCCCAGCGTTCATTGCAGCACTATTAACAATAGCCAGGACATAGAAGCAACGTAAACGTCCATCAACAGAGGAATGGCTAAAGAAGATGTGGTATACACACACACACACACACACACACACACACACACACACACAATGGAATATTACTCAGCCATAAAAAAGAACAAAAGAGACTTCCCTGGTGGTGCAGTGGTTAAGAATCCACCTGCCAATGCAGGGGACATGGGTTTGATCCTTGTTGCAGGGAGATACCACATGCTGCAGAGCAACTAAGCCCGTGCGCCACAACTACTGAAGTCTGTGCGCCTAGAGCCCGTGCTCCACAACAAGAGAAGCCACTGCAAGAGACGCTCACACACCGCATTGAAGAGTAGACCCTGCTCACCGCAACTAGAGAAAGCCTGCGCGAAGCAACGAAGACCCAAAGCAGCCAAAAATAAATAAATAAATAAAATAAATTAAAGGAAAAAAAAGAACGCATTTAGTAAGAAATCTGTGATTTGGGCTAGATGCTTAAGGCCAGACAGCTTAATTACATATCCAGCTCCATTATTTACTGTGCAAACTTGGACAAGATTCTTCATCTCTCTGTGATTCAATTCCCTCGTCTATAAAATGAGGATAGTAATAGTTATCCTTGAGTAATTAAAAGCATTCAAAACAGCATCTGGCAAATGGTAGGACTTAAAAATATTTGTGAGGTGAACTTATGTCACTTACGAATAGTATGTTCAATCAAAGCGTTTTGGAGGAGTGAACGTTTAACTTTGACTTTGAAGGGTGGTTGGGATTTCAATGATGGGAGGGCAACACTGATGATCAATGATAGTAGGGGAACACTGATGACAAATCCAACTGCAATGTCCCTCAACAGCCAAATTAAGAAATACACACATTTTTAATAGGTGAAGCAGTCTGAAGGTTTATGAGCAGGGAAATGTCAAGATGAGAACAAGATGGATGGTTTATTTTATTTGTCTGTTTTGCATTTCCTTAGTTTAAACATTTTTTTCCCAATATAAAAACTATGCTACTCCATTAAATTGTATCATTAGTACATTTAACTTCTGAGAATTAAACTCTAGAAGCTCTGGAGAGGATGGAAAATGTGAACAGTGTGGGTGCTGGCAGGCCTTTCTTCTCCAGAAGCTGATGCAATGGATTCAATCAAACTTGAAGGAGAATGCAACTAGAGATTATCATACTAAGTGAAGTCAGTCAGAAAGAGAAAGACAAATACCATATGATATCACTTATATGTGGAAGCTAAAATATGACACAAATGAACCTATCTATAGAAATAATGTGCCAAGGATTTTAAGGATTCTTCAACAAAGGAGACATCATTTGGGTGTCAGGTGAGTGGGTGCGTTAGTGTCTTCACCATCCTGGAGGAAGAAATTAAAGATTTAACAGAAAAACTGTAACAAAGAGAGTGATTGCTAGACTCCATCTTAAGAAGATGATGAAACTGGAAAAGCTGAAAATGTATTATCTTCATAAATTTTCTTAAGCGCTCTAAGAGGTGAAGCACATGAAACATTTACCCTATGACTACCTACAAATAGCAGATCATTAATATGTACATATTATTGTGTAGGGTTATATGCACAAAACGATGGTTACTATACCTTGGAAATTCACGAATCAAGGTTGAATTTTGCTATTTGAGATTTTTGTGCTGACTATAGTACCGAACTCCCAAATTAAGATGAGATTTGTGAATTTCCAGATTAAGATGAGGTTATTTTTATCTGTATTTAGTGGGAACCTTTTTTTTTTTTTTTTAAGAAAGGAAACATCTACAGGTTACAAAGTGTTACTTGAGTGGGCCTTTCTGTCATGCAAATGTAGGCACCAGTGAGACAATCCAGAAGGAACTTTTCTTCTGATCCCACCTGCCCATCCCTGAGGCCCAGGTACACAAAGCTGATATCTAGGGAGAAAGTTGATTATTTGCATAAAGTGGCCAGGAGCTCTGAGGAGGGAGGAGACAGAGGCTCCCTGCTGAACCTCTCCCCTCAGAGATTTGTAGTTGGGAGCTCTTTCTCGTTGACTAAGTCCTCCTCTCCCCACTCCCCACCAAGGCAGGAAAGGACACCTAGGGTCTGGAGGGAGACAGCAACTACAGCAACAAATCCCCAGTTTATCTGAGGAACAACGGGAATGTGGGTTGATGACTCAGGCTCTGTGACAAAATTCCAAGGTTCTTTTGGAGAAGTATCAGCCTCATCCCCTAAGGCTGGGGAGGGCCATTTCTGCATATTGGAACCTATAAGTGCTAAATGAGGAACAAGGGCAGTGATGAACACAAGGTAAGTTGGAGGAGTACTGTACTTCTTTGGACTAATTTTGGGGTGTGGGGGTTAGGAAAGACCTGAGAGAGAGAGAGAGAGAGAGAGAGGGAGGGGGAGGGAGAGAGGTCTTGGATTTCAATTTGGGTGATCTCAAACAACTGTGACTGTTTGCATTCTGAGTTTATGGAGTGTTTCATACTGTTTACAGAGAAAATTCATTTGTTCATTTTACAAATATTATATTAAGTTACTTTTGTAAGCTGGATCAGGGTGAGGAGTAGGTAGAAGAGAAAGAAAACCTATAAAATAGTATCTTAGATCATGCTAAAACTTAAGGATAAAGATAAGGATAAAAAATGGGGAGTTTATGTGTATAGATAGGTGGTTATTGCTGAGGAAGGCTGCATGGAGAAGGGAAATTTGACTAAGGACCTGAAAAGGAGGTGCGTGGATACTTAGGGAATGTTTCAGGCACCTGAGGTACCTGAATGATCCAGGTACCTGAGAAGGGAGAGTGACTGGCTTCTTTGAGGAATTGTGGGTGGAGTGAGGAGACAGAAAGTGGGAGGTGAGCTCCTGTGGGCCTTATAGACCATTTTAGGTCCGTCGTACGTTTTTTTTAGCTTTTACTCTGAGATTGAAAGGAAAATTTGAAAAATACAGAAAAGTGGAAAGCAGTAAAAGAGATGGTTCTGACACCAAAGCCTATAGCTTCTTTGACCATGCTGTGTCTCTCCTTAAATCCTTCAATAGCTTCCTTTGCCAGTAGAATGAAGTCCTAGATCCCAATCTGGACCTTGCTTCTCCCTCTACCCTCATCTGCTTCTGATTTATCCTCTCACTCTGACTAAAAACTATCAGTTTCTCAAATTTGTACTCTTTATCACATTTTTTTTTCTACATGACTTTTGCATAAATCTTATCTTCTGCCCTCAAGTGTTCTCCCTTTCTTTGGGCTAATTCCTATATCCTTTAGATCTCAACTTTAATTCAACCTGTGTACATGCACAGAGTCCTGTGCTTAGAAAGTCCCCATGATTGGTTTCACTCCTCTGTCACCAACTTGAAATCCTTAATAATTTTGAACAAGGGGAACCACTTTTTCACTTTGTACTGGGCCCTGTACCTGTATGTATGTAACTGGTCCTGTTGATCATTTACTATGCACCACTGCCTCAGTGCTGAGGATACAATGGAGTACAAAAAAGATGTGCTCTCTACTTTTCATATTGGTGGAAGAGGTAGACATTAATCAGACAACCAGAAGATAAACATAAAATGGCAACTGAGAAAAATGCTACAGAGGAAAGATATATGGAAATTTGGCTTAGTCAGAGAAGTCAGGAGATTCTTCCCTGAGGAAGTGAGCATTGAGTGAGTGAGTCCTGCAGGATGAGAAATGAACCAGTCTTTCCATGGCTCCCCCCGCCCGCGTCCCCCTCCCCGCATCCCCATTTTATTAGATTCTCCTGTTCTGTCCCCTCTTTCCACCCTGTACTTCTTTTTTATAATGCCTGTTATTATTACTAATTATTTGTATGATAGCCAACTTTCTAGAGAGAATATAAGCTCACAGCGTGTCTCACTTTTCACCACTGTATTCTCAGATCATAGCACAGCACATAGTATTTAAGCAATATGTTCGAATGAAAAGATTATGAAATTTTTTGGCTATCATCTTTTTATTCATAAAATTTTCTTCATGTACAATTTAGTAATCTGCATTTTATTTTATTATTTTTTAAAACTATCATCACAACATTGTTGTTGTTTTTTTAAAAATTTTATTTTGGCTGCGTTGGGTCTTTGTTGCTGTACATGAGCTTTCTCTAGTTGCGGTGTCGTCGTGGAACACAGGCTCTAGGTGCGCGGGCTTCCGTAGTTGTGGCACACGGGCTTAGTAGTTGTGGCTCGCAGGCTCCAGAGCACAGGCTCCGTAGTTGTGGTGCACAGGCTTAGTTGCTCCTCGGCATGTGGGATCTTCCTGGACCAGGGCTCGAACCTGTGTCCGCTGCATTGACAGGCGGATTCTTAACCACTGCGCCACCAGGGAAGCAGTAATCTGCATTTTTAAAAAAACTTAACACTGAGAAATTTTCAATTTTTTAAAACAAATTTCATAAACTGGCTAAATCAGGGGCTTTGAAGAGTTATCTGGAGGTTGGTATTCTGAATGGATTGGAGAGGGAGAGATTGGAGGTAAAGAGATTAAGTTAGGAGACAATAGGTATAAAATGGAGGAAGACCTGAACTAATAATGTTCATTTACTTATTCAGCTATATTTACTAAGGACTTATTATAAATCAGCTAGTGTATTAGGCATTCACAATACAATCTTAAAAAAAAAAGATGACAGGATCCCTTCCTGGAACTTACTGTGTCCTGGAACTTACTGTGTATCAATGACAGGGCTAGAAAGGAAAAAAAAAAATCCTTACCCTTTTCAGCTTCCTTCATAGATGTAGCAATGCTGTAATAAGGAGAATGGAAGCCTTCCATTAGGGGTGACCCAGAGAAATGTTTTGCAAAAATTCTGAAAGTTTGAAGTTCTAGTGGAATATCTTCCTTGTTTCACTGATAGATTTTTCTATTATTGTAACTTTCTCCTTTGAGTCATGTTTTTATCCTTTTTTGGTTCTTTTAACTATTACTTTTTAAAAAAAATCAAAAGTAACTAAATACTAAGTAAAAAGGAATGGCTAATATGCTGCTGAGAGACAGTGTTTTGTTTTTCTATTTTGGAAACCTTTGCAACTGGTTATCCTCCCTAACTTGAAGAAAACTGTTATTCGAAAATGTTATTTCCTACTGCCTCAGGGCATACTATCCTTTTCTCTTTTAAAGGTATTCTTCAGAATACTCTTCTCCCAGTTTGAAAAGCAGCAGGGAGTCAAAGTGTGGAATTAAATATGCAGCAATTTGCCACTCCCTTTAGGCCCTGCCTCAGTTACTGCAATAGAAAATGTCTGGGGATAAATACTTGTGGGGTAGATTCAATCCTCCTAGTGAAGATTATGAAGGGAACAAAGAGAGGGCACTTCCACTCCTCAGAGAAAGGTGTTCCCAAAAGGTTAAACACTAATTCAGGACAAAAAGAAACTAATATTTAAAAAGATTAACTCTGAATAATACTTAGGTCAGTTGTTTGATAGGGAAGAGAAGGAGGGAGGGAGTGCAGACCAGGGCTTGGCTGTATAATCTTGGGTAGGTAACCTAAACTTCTTTGAACCCCTGCCCTACTTAAAGAGTTTGGACCAAGGATCTCTAAGGTTCTTTCATCTCTAAAATTCTATGGTTCTGTGATTCCGTTGTTTGAGATGGGCCATTCTGTTGATTTCCTAGTCTCCATGAGGGAGGTAACTAGTCTCTGGGAGTGGAACTGAGTACCTTGATGGAGAATTATCAACGCAGAGGTGGGTGAACTTCATATTTACGGGGGTTTGGACCATAGAGATGCTCTTGGAAAATTTCCACGCGGGCCTTTTCCTCGTTCTTTAACCTGATTTTACAATTCCCTTGACCCTTTGGGATGGGGGAGCAGGAAGGACCTATTTTAGACTGGGATTGTTCACTTTCAGCATTTCCCCTTATTATTAGACCTTAAAAAAAGAAAGAAAGATAGAAAAAAAAAAAAAAGCCAGGAAACAGATCCCAAAGGGGTGGCAGGAGAAACTATGATTACGGGATCTCGAAAGGCCTGTAAAATCCGCTTCCCCATTTTCAGCCTTTCTTTGGTGTTAGGATCTTTTTACAATATATATTTTTGGCGGAGTGGGCCGAAGACTGAGGTTCGGAACAGTAAAGGGGGCGCTGGCGTGAAGGAGCTCCGGGTCAGACTCCCGCCGGCCGCAAGGCGGGCTCGAAGCTATCAACACAAGGGCGCGGCTGCGGGCGGGCGGGCCCCGGGGAGGGGCTTCACAGAGGCGCCGCGGGCCGAGCCGAGCGGGGCCGCCCGGGCTCGGCGCGCAGAGCGGCCGGGCGAGCGGTGGCGCTGCGGAGGCGGCGACCGAGGCCGGCGGGCGCGGAGGAGGGGCCCGAGAGTGGGGCGGCCGGCGGCAGCCGCCTCCGTGACGACTGCCGGCAGCGCGGCGACCTGAGGAGACCGAGCCGCGGGCCCCGCCGCCGCCGCCGCCGGTCCCTGTTGTCTTCCTTCTCCTCTCTCGGCGGGGGCGTCAGGAATGGGCCCCAACCGCCGCGGGCCCCGCACCGCGCGCCGCCCGTAGGCCCCAGCAGTGGGAGGCCGGCCGCCCGACCTCTCACCACCCCTTCGCCCTAGCCAAGCCGTCCCCACCCCAAATCCCCGGGAAGGAAGATGAGGGACACGGGTCCGGCGCTCAGCAGCCAGAGCAGCAGCAGCAGCGGTCGGGGGAGGGTGTTTCGCCGTTTCCTCTCAGCCGCCAGGACAAGATGGCAGCGGCCGCGGAGAGGGGCTGAGCCCGGGCTGGGTGGTGCCGCCTGCTGAAGCGCCTGGCTCCCTGTCCCCGACACGGCCCCGCACCCACCCCGGACATGCTCAGGGCTGCGGCCGCCCGAAGAGGGGAGAGCGCAGGCCTCTAGGAAGGTAAGTGAATAGGGCGAGGGGCGTACCCACCCCGGGGCGGGGGACCGGCTCCACCGGCCGCGCCTGCGTTCGGGGGGGGGCCAAAGGGCCCCTCCCCTGGACCCTCGCGGGCCCGACGTCCCCCGGAGCGGCCCGCACCCGTTGCGCGTCCTGCACCCCCATCCGCATCCCCTGCGCTCATGCCCCGCGTTTCCGTCCCGGACCCGACGGGGTGGCGGGGCCAGGCGTCTCCCTTGAGGCCGGGGCGCCCCGGGCCCGAGGTCCCCGGACGCGGGGACCGCGCGTGGTTCCTGCGCGCTGTGGCGCAGCCTCGGGGAAGCCGCGCTTGGGCTGGGCCAGGCCGGGCGGCCCCCGCCGTCTCCTGCCAGGGTTGCGCAACGGCTCTTCCCAGCAACCGAAGTTTTGTTTAGTCCCACATGGGGCCTCTTCCCTCACCGCAGCCTGGGCCGTCACTACGGAGACCTCTTGTCTTTCATTAAAGGGGAACAAACACAAACACACGCACGCACGCACGCAACTTGAGCGCCGCGGCCGATGGCTGCGTCCCTGGCTTTGTGGCCCAGTCCCCAGCGTCGCCGAGCGGCGGGTTTGGAGGGTGTCAACTCTGGGGACGTGAGTGCGTGTGATTGTTGGGGAGGAGAAATGTGATCCGCCGCTCCGCGTCCCCCGCCGCGGCCGGAGGAAGGCGTGGCGGCCGCGCGGCGGGTCTGCTGCCGGCGTCTCTCGTTAGGGTGGCGGCCGCCCTCTTCCCTTCGCGGCGCTGGGAGAACTCGCGGAAAGACTTCGGATGAGCGAGAATGTCTGTTTTCCTGTCGGGAGGGAGACGGCTGTTTTAAAATGGTATGTGGCTCTTGGCCGAAGCCTGTTGTTTCCCAATCTTATCTCTGCTTGAGGAATTGCGCTTGAAGGGTGTGTGCGTAAATTACCTTGGACCTGTTACAGAGCAGTCATAACACGTTTAGTCCTTGAACCGTGTTTTCACAACCTCTTGCTGCCCTGTTAGAATTTATTTTTTCACCTGCCGTTCGCTGCTTCTCATTAAAGGAGCTTCTTTTAGCAACAGTGAAGTTTTTCAGATTATCGTCCCGTTTACAGGGAAAGCTCATGGTTGGTTCTGTTGTTAGCTTTGATGTCTCTTTGGTCTAGGGCCAGAAAAGTTAGCTGGTAAACCAGCCTGTGCCTGTGTTATGCATACCTTCTAGTAGTTTGGAGATGGGGGTGAATTTTTTTTTTTTTCTATTTTAGGTATTTGCTTGTTAGGTGTAGCTTCTGAAGTGGAAGGAGTTATATTTAAACCATTTCAGTTTATTTCTAAGATTTAATTGCTGGGTGCTTTAAAATTTTGAGAGGTTCTCTTGATCAAATTTTTGATGCAAACTTTTAAACAGGATCGTGTTTTGTTTGTAACCCAACCAAAGACATTTTAATCCTGCATTCTCATTTGATTTTTCAGAAGCTAGGCATGCCTCACCATATGTTTGATAAGTCTAGATTCTGCTTATGCTTGCAAGTGCGGTGCTAATTTTATACAGTGAGCCATGATAAGATTTTGATAGGTCATGATTAAACTTAGTATTTAAGTAAACAAAATAAGACTGACCTTTTTTTGAAAGATAGTTTTTATAGTTTTGTTAGTTACCTTATGTCTTTATATGCCACTTAAGAGTAATTGAAATGTAACCAACCAAATAAAGTTCCTTACTTTTAAATCAACAAGGTATTTCTTGGTATATTTATGGGTGCATTCCTAAAGTACAGGGAACTCTTATTTATGAAATATAATGCTCAACCTGATTGAGGTTCATTTTTCTTTTATTTTTGAAACTTGTTTTTAATTTGTGTTAAGGTAAAGGTGGGCTGATATATTTGATACTTTGGACATTTCACTGTGCAGTTTTTTTCTTGCATTTATGGGAAAATTGAATAATTTGTCCCTTAATTTTTTATACTTTAGGGACTGTTTTTAAAATTTTTTTGTGGAGAGCCTTAGATTAAAACTATGTTTTAGAAAGATAAAATGAGCTTGAAATCTAGAACAGAACCAGCCATTAAATATTTCAGATTTATATTTGGACATTGCTGACTACAGTAGCTAAACATGCATATTAGGCAAGCAGATCATAACATGGTGAGCCAGCCTTAGTCTATTGTCACAATATCTTTTCCATTGAATTTGTCATTATATTGCTTATAAACCAGTCATTGGCTTCTGGGCATGGAGTTTTAGAGTCACATAAAAGTGGATGGTTTTTATGAGGTAATTCTTCTTGTAAACATGCTTGAAAAGAAGTTTCAGATCATACTATTTTATTTTTTTGGATCTTCTGTCATGGGGTATCATAAAACGGTGCAAATTACAGAGGTAGATTGCTGTAGCTAGTATGGCAGGGCACCTAAGTATTTGTTGAATGCAGGTTATTGAAAGCCCCACCCTCCCCTTTTTTTTCTTGCAACTTAAAATAGCAACAGCTGTCAAGTGAACTTTTTGATTGAGCTTCGTTTTAAATATTTGATACATCAGCATTGAGGACATCTATATGTAAGGGTGGAAGAGGAAAATGTAAATTTCAGAGTGCTAAAATGCTGTTTACCAAGCCTGTTTCACATCCATTGAATGGAATACTTGTTTGCATGTTATTTTCCATTTGAATATTGGAATGGCTTATTCTGGTAACTTTTGAAGTTAACTTTCTTAATATGCTTTTCTGATTGTAGCAGTTCACCACTGAGGGTGATGATATGGTACATTAGAATTGCATTATTGGTGGTTAATTCCGAGGTTTTAAAAATAGTTTCCATTGCAACTTTACATACGTTTGAATTTGGAGATGAAAATGTCATGGCAGTATTTAGATTTAAAGGTATTCCAAGGAACTGTGAAATTTTCCACATTTAAAAATATTCCTTCAGAATTATTCTTGCCTCTAAACTATTAAAGGACATAAAGTAAGTTGCTACATGATTATATTGTTGCTGCCAAAAGAAATCTTCATGTATAATTTCTGGGTTTGCAGCTGTCCTAATTTCCTAATATCTGAAGTTGAAACTCCCAGTGTGGTATGTTTAAATTGGAAGTTACTTTTGATGACGAATTCCTAGAACTTCGTTAAAATCAAGGAACCTGTCAGTGTATTTTATTACTTTTGAAAGGGTGTTCCCTCCCGCCCCCCACCCCCACTTGCTGAAAGCTGTGTCATGGGAAACCCTTTCTGTATGATACATATGTAAGTCTAAATAAATTATTTGAAATGTCCTTACTGGTTCTGGATTCAACTGCTTAAAATACATTTTGTCTAGTACCTTTAAGCATTTAACATAAGTTGAATATAGGGATATAGATTTGGAGTAGAAGTTTTGAATCAGTGGAGGATTTTAGGATAGCCAAAGCACTTATGTGACCAACTTGAGGAAACACAGTGCACTTCTTTTGGTTGGATTGGTATAATTAAGAGTGATTTGGGGGCTTCCCTGGTGGTGCAGTGGTTAAGAATCCGCCTGCCAATGCAGGGGACACGGGTTCGAGCCCTAGTCCGGGAAGATCCCACATGCTGCGGAGCAACTAAGCCCATAAGCCACAACTACTGAGCCTGCGCTCTAGAGCCCACGAGCCACAACTACTGAGCCCACGCGCGGCATCTACTGAAGCCTGTGTGCTCTAGAGCCCGTGCTCCGCAACAAGGGAAGCCACCACAATGAGAAGCCCACACACCGCAACGAAGACCTAACACAGCCAATCAATCAATCAATAAAATTGTTTTAAAAAAAGAGTGGTTTGGGGAAGAACAACTTAATGTTAGTGTGCTGCTTCTGTAGCTTTGTCACAGCTGTTGTTTTGGACTTAATCAGTTAGGACCAAGCTAGAACAGATATTTAGAGGATGTTTGTTATACATTTTACCTAAATGTTTGTTGAATTAGACCTTGACTGATTTATCAGATCATGCTGTTCTCCTCAGTTGATACTTGGGCCATGTGTCACTACACAAAGGCAACATATTGCCTAGATTCTGAAGCCTACCACTGTATGCTAGGGTGTTAGAGCCTCTGCTCTTACTACTTGTGTGGAAATTAAAAGAACTGGATGAGTATTGGAAATACCATATTTGTAGGGTGGCATTTGTAGTTTGGGGACAGCTAAGTCATTAAACTGATTTACTTTGTGTTTTATATTTAGTAGTTAATGCCAAGTCAATACTTTAGAAAGCTGTCTTATTCTAACAGATAAGTCTTTGAAATGAAACAAACCAAGAATAATATTTTTTACCTTAAATGTATTTTATTTTGACCCAAATAATTTCTCTAATTTTCTGAGAATTTTTCACTGCTAAGGGAGACTGAATGGGAGGGAAGGTAGGGGGACAGATGAGGTAGAAGAAGCTGGGCTGTAGTGGGGGTGACTTAATTGGATTTGGGAGACTTAGAAATCTGTTTTGATTTAAATGTTCAAGTTGCTAGAAACCAGGGTTCTCTTAGTTATAAGGTCAGTGAAATATTGTGGTAGCTATTAGCGGGGGCTAATCTTCGTTGCACTGCGTGGGCTTCTCATTGTGGTGGCTTCTCTCGTGTGGAGCATGGGCTCTGGGCGCAAGGGCTTCAGTAGTTGTGGCACGTGGGCTCAGTAGTTGTGGCTTGTGGGTTCTAGAGCGCAGGCTCCGTAGTTGTGGCACACGGGCTTAGTTGCTCTGCAGCATGTGGGATCTTCCCAGACCAGGGCTCGAACCTGTGTCCCGTGCATTGGCAGGCAGATTCTTCACCACTGTGTCACCAAGGAAGCGCCATCTCTTCTTTTGAAGATTAGATTTCCAGATACTTTTTCATGTTGCATTTTCTTTGCCGCTTTGTCTTTTTTTTGTCTCCTTAACCAAAAAGGTTACACCTAAAAGAAGTGGAGATTTAGAGAAGCATAAAGAGAAGTATAATACTTTGCTCCTTTGAGCTCTACTTTTTCCTTTAGGTAAGGATCTAAATTGTGAAAGACTGATTATTTAGTATAACTCTTGGTCACATTGAAAATAAAGGATTGCCAGAGGTGGTCAGATAAATTCTTTATTTTATATAATTATTAATGCTGGAGCATCTTTTCTAATTGGAAAAAAAATTGTTTAGGCTTGATTGATATTGAAATAAATCAACAAAATATGAGTCACTGTCTCCCCACCTTTAAAATTTTGTAGTCCTTCATTATAAACTATATATATATATTTTTTTGTTTGTTTGTTTGCGGTACGTGGGCCTCTCACTACTGTGGCCTCTCCCCCCTGCGGAGCACAGGCTGTGGATGCGCAGGCTCAGCGGCCATGGCTCACGGACCCAGCCGCTCTGCGGCATGTGGGATCTTCCTGGACTGGGGCACGAACCCGTGTCCCCTGCATCTG